ATCGCCTGGGGGCAGCAGGCAGGACTGGGAGAAGCTGTGAGGGAGGCAGATGGGGCCAGGGGAGAGACCCCACCCCGAACATTAGTGGAGCTGGACCCCCTTGTGCTCTGAATGTTCCCGGAGCACACGCCCCAGCAGCAGACAAACCTGCCTTTTGGTGACAGAACAGCAAGAGCGTTGACGCGGCCCTGCAGCTTGTCAGGAAGACACCCAGTTTTGGCGACAAAATATTTTCAGCCCTGCGAGAGATTTCTGTCTTTCCCCCCTCCCTTCATTGGCGACACAGAGCCAGGGTAGACTCTGCTGTTTGTTTTGTCGAGAGAACTGGCTTCCACCATTATCCCACCATGCCTGCCCTGGTGGCTGTGCTCAGTGTTTTTGGGATCTCTGCTGCCCTGCGGGCTGCGCCCCTCCCCCTTCAAAGCTCAGGGAAGTTTCTGGCAGCTGAGAGAGCTGCTCCATTTGGGGAACAAACAAAGAACAAATCATTGGGATGCTCCTGTTCTTCCCAGCTAGGAACCCAGCAGCAGGCCAGCAGCTGCTGCAGGGGGAGGACTGGCGAGGCTGCCATGCTGCTTTGATGTTCCTCAGCACAGAGCGCTCCCAGAGCTAGGTGGGAATCCCAAGCAGTGCAGGGACCAGCTCTGCCTTCCCCCCACACCGTCCTGTGGGATGCTCCCCCACAATGCTTTGCTCTGTCTGTCGAGAGGGGAACCAGCCATGTGGCCGTGAAATGTCGACAAGGGGAGGCAGGAAAACCACGCTGATGAGTTTTCACTTTTGGGGACGTTTGCCTGGTGACGGCACTTTCATCACCAACCGCTTCCCGTGGAGACAGACCCTGGGGTTACCTATTGGGGAAAAACCTTTCTAACTCGCAGGCTAGTTGAGCTCCATGGAGCTGATGAGTCTCCCTCGTTGCTGGCTTTTTAAGGGCAGGTTGACCAAACACCTGCTGAGAGACTTGGTCCTGCCTCTGCCCGGGGGGTTGGGCCGCATGACCTCTTGCAAACCCTTCCAGCCGGGCATTCCTATGGGAGTAGCAACTCAGTGCCCCACTGGAAACCTGAGTCTCACCGTGCAGGGTGCTGTACAAACCCAGGAGCGACGAGCCCTGCCCCAAAGCGTTCGCTGGACTAGACGAGGAGAGGAAGGGGGGAACCGAGGCCGAGAGAGGGGGAAAGGACTGCCCTGAGGTCACGGAACCCGTTAGCAGCAGAGCCAGGAATATAACCTGGATTCCCGCGGCCGTAGGGGACTGGGAAGCCTGAGTGGCCATTAGGCAGAGCCCAAGGGTTGTTCGTGGGGCGCGTATGGAAGGCAGCCTCCCTTCCCGCTCTGAGCCCCACGGCAGCTGGGGGGACCTTGGCAGCTTCCTAGTTGCTGCAGCGTGTGGCCGACTGTGGGGGTGTACGCACTCCCCGTCACAAGAAAAATACAGGACTATGTAGCACTTTAAAGACTAACGAGATGGGCCATTAGGCAGAGCCCAAGGGTTGTTCGTGGGGCGCGTATGGAAGGCAGCCTCCCTTCCCGCTCTGAGCCCCACGGCAGCTGGGGGGACCTTGGCAGCTTCCTAGTTGCTGCAGCGTGTGGCCGACTGTGGGGGTGTACGCACTCCCCGTCACAAGAAAAATACAGGACTATGTAGCACTTTAAAGACTAACGAGATGGTTTATTAGATGATGAGCTTTCGTGGGCCAGACCCACTTCCTCAGATCAAATAGTGGAAGAAAATAGTCACAGCCATATATACCAAAGGATACAATTTAAAAAAAAAGAACACATATGAAAAGGACAAATCAAATTTCAGAACAGAAGGGGGATGCGGGGGGGGGGGGGGAAGGTAAATGTCTGTGAGCTAATGGTATTAGAGGTGATAATTGGGGAAGCTATCTTTGTAATGGGTAAGGTAACTAGAGTCTTTGTTAAGACCCCCGCGCAAAGTGTCGAATTTTAGCATGAATAACAGTTCAGAGGATTCCCTTTCAAGTGCAGTTTTAAAAGGCTTTTGAAGCAGGATGCAGGTAATTAAGTTGTTGAGACAATGTCCTTTCTGGTTGAAATGGCAAGAAACTTTTTTCTTTGTGATCCTGTCTAATATCTGTTTTGTGGGCATTGTCCGTCACAAGTGTGAGTCTCTTCCAGAGTGGGACGTCTCCACACATCTTCCCTTCTCTCAGGGTGACCCCGAGTCCATAAGCAGCCCAGCACACAGGGCAGTACAGACCACCGGCCGAAAGTCACTCAATAGCCCCTAACTCGGGGTAACTCCGAAAGTCTGGGTGTCTGGCTGATGAGTCTTGCCCACGTGCTCAGGGTTTAGCTGATCGCCATATTTGGGGTCAGGAAGGAATTTTCCTCCAGGGTAGATTGGCAGAGGCCCTGGAGGTTTTTCGCCTTCCTCTGTAGCATGGGGCACAGATCACAGCTGGAGGATTCTCTGCATCTTGGGGTCTTCAAAGTATTTGAAGGCTTCAATATCTGAGATCTAGGTGAGAGGATTATTCTAGGAGGAGTGGGTGAGATTCTGTGGCCTGCACTGTGCAGGGGGTCAGACTAGATCATGATGGTCCCTTCTGACCTTAAAGTCTATGAGTCTGTAGCGACTAGCTCAGGGCAGTGTGTCCTACCAGCCAGAGTCATAGAATCTCAGAGCTGGAGGAGACCTCAGGAGTCATCAAGTCCAGCCCCCTGCCCAAGGCAGGACCAACCCAACTAAATCAACCCAGCCAGGGCTTTGTCAAGCCGAGACTTCCACCCCCTCCCTAGGGAACCCATCCCAGAGCTCCCCCCCGCCCGCCGCCTAGGGAAATGGTTTTTCCTCGTCTCAAGACAGTCCTTGGCTTAGAGCAGTGTGGCCTAATAGCCAGAGTCTATATACAGCCCTTGGTTCAAGGCTGTGCAGCCTAAGGACCAGAGTCAGTAGGGTTAGGGCAAGCCCCCTGGCAGGGGGTCTGGGGCCCACCCTGCTTCACCAGGTCCCAACCCAAGGCCCTGTGAGCAGCAGAACGGTCTTCCGCTCCCTCAGTGGGGAATCCGGCCGAAACACGCCGAGGATACCCGGGTGGGAGAGGCTGCTCCTGCACCCTCCCTGGGTCGCTTCCTACCGGTTCCACTGAGGTGTCATCCCACGCTTTCCGCCGGGTCCCAGCCCCCTGGCAGAGCACAGAGCTTCCACAAACAGAACAGCCTCAGTCCTGTGGCTTTCCTGGCCTGCTGCAGCCGGGGGGGTGAGGGGGAATTCAGGGAGGGCTGTGGATGCAGCATGAGCCTGGACCAGTCTCTGTGTGCCCCTTAGCGCATGGCCCACTCCCACGGGAGGCGAGAGGGGAAGGGGAAGGCTCAACTGCCCGGCCCCTGCCCCCAGCCCCTGCTCTTCTCTTGCAGGGGCGTGGTGAGGATGGACGTCAAGCTGCAGGACGTGGAAATCAATCCGTGCGCCAGCAGCCCGGGGTGGTTCACCGCCACGCACCAGTGTGATCTCAACAGTACGCAGGTAAAGGGGGCCCCGCCGCCTCGTGCGGCCCACTCCCCTGCCGGCCCGGCTCCGCTCAGCAGCTGGTCTGCCCCTCCGCCTCTCGGGCTATGTCTACACTCGCGGCTTCTTGTGCGAGAAGTATGCTAATGAGGCTACGCGTGGAATATCGCTGAGCCTCATTTGCATACCTCATGAGCCGCCATTTTTGCAGAAGAGGCTCTTGCACCAGGAGGAGTTGTCTCCACTGCCCCTTCATGCGCGAGAAAAGCCCTCTTGCGCAGTGCCGCTACGCCGATTATTTTCAGGAAGAACGGCATTGCGCAAGAGGGCTTTTCTCGCGCATGAAGGGGCAGTGGAGACAACTCCTCCTGGCGCAAGAGCCTCTTCCACAAAATGGCAGCTCATTAGGTATGCAAATGAGGCTCGGTAATATTCCACGCTTAGCCTCGTTTGCATATTTCTGGCGCAAGAGCCTCTTCCACAAAATGGCAGCTCATTAGGTATGCAAATGAGGCTCGGTAATATTCCACGCTTAGCCTCGTTTGCATATTTCTGGCGCAAGAGCCTCTTCCACAAAATGGCAGCTCATTAGGTATGCAAATGAGGCTCAGCGATATTCCACGCGTAGCCTCATTAGCATACTTCTCGCACAAGAAGCCGCGAGTGTAGACATAGCCTGAGAGCCCTCCCTTGGGTGCAGCGCTGACTCACGGCGCGTGATAAGCTCCGCCCAGCAGGCCCCTGTTGGGCTTTGGGGGCAGGGTGTTTGCAGCTCCGAGAGACGTTGGTTTCCACATCCCAAGCGAACCCCAGTGCCCCGGAAATCCCTCTCCTCGGGCCTGATCCAAAGCTCAGGGAGCCAATGGAGAAAAAACGCCTTCGATTTCAGTGGGCTCCGGCTTAGATCTCGCCTCCCTCCACGCCAAACGGACATGGCCCCTCTGTGCAACTTCATGCCTCTCTCCAGAGTCCTTCTCTTATTTCAAAATAACTGCAGCTGCCATGTCTCCACAGCCCCTATTTTGAAATAACTCTTTCAGAAGATGCATTATTCCTCTTAGAATGAGGTTTACAGATTTCAGAATAAGCCTCCTGTTATTTCGAAAAAATTTCAAAATAACAGGCAGCTTATTCCGACTTCTGTAAACCTCATTCTGCGAGGAATAACGCCTCTTCCGAAATAGCTGTTTCGAAACACGGTGTGTGGAGACGCTCTGTTGCTGCTATTTTGGAATAGCCCCTTCCCAGGGCCGTTGTAAGTTCTTCCTCCCCAGTGCCTCCCGGGGCGCTGCAGCGAGATAGCGCGTCTATATGAGGGGAGCCGGCCTCGCACTAATTTTGAGGCTTCCCTGCAGTGTAGACGTGCTATTTCAGAATAAGCTATTTCGGAATAACTATTCCAGAATAGTTTATTCCGAAATCAGCATGCAGTGTGGACGTACCTAGAGGTCCCCGAGCCAGTCTGCATGTCAGCACTTTTGGGAACAGCTACACTACGCCGCTTGGAGCGACAGGTCCGTGTCGACGCAGCCCCCTCGCTAAAAGTTGGCGCCTGCCAACGTCATTTGTCAGTACTTTCACGGACAAAATATCCCCCCCCGCCCCGAGCGGCTTTCGCTGTGCGGACAGCCGAGCGCTCTCCGGCCAACAAAGCAGCGTTTGCATTTTTTTTATTTATTTGTTCCAAATATTCGTACTCCGCTTCTCTGCTGAAAACGTTCGAGGCGGCTTACAAAGTGATTTAAAAGACAATCAGTATAGATGTATAAAAGTAAAATACAGAACTGCAAAGGCAGGGGACACAGTCTGTTAAAACACCTCAAGACACGCACCGAAACCGCAGTAAAAGCTAAAAAGGTGGCTTTGGTCTGGCACCAAAATGATACCTGTGCTGGCGCCAGGCGAATGGCTCGGGAAGGGCGTTCCATGGCTCCCTGTGGATGCTAGCCTCATCCCCAGAAGCAGTGGAACACGGAGCCGACTTCGTGCGTTTGTTGCGGCCAAACGTCGTCGCTTCCACCGGGGGTGGGGTGGGGGGCAGCACCCGTGAACAACCAAAGATTCATCGACAAAGCGCAAGGGCAGGCGTGGCCTTTTGTGTTGTGTTGCCAGGACACACCGGGTGTGGCCTGGCTCTTTCCGGCTGCGCGGACCCCGGCTCAGATCACAACCTACCGGCCCCCGATCAGTTCAGAAGGCGCAGCTCAGCCAGGAATAGCTATGGGCTGCAAAGCTCCCCAGGGCATACAATGGGCAGTTTGAAAAGCTTCTGGCATCCCCGTTCTCCTCTGTGCACAGTCTCCCCCCCCCATCACCCCCAAGGAATGACCCCTTGCGAACAGCACAATCGGTTTGAGGCACCCCTCTGGCACCCCGGCCCTACTGTCTGAACACGTCACAGTTTCAATATCATCAGCCTCACAACCCACCGGGGCTGACACACCCCATTGGACAGAGGGGGAAACTGAGGCACAGAGGGAGCCACGGAGGCAGAGTCTCAACGTTATTAGGTGTCTATTATTATTAGACACTTACATGGTTTCTATGGGAGTTGGGCACCTGAAGAGCTTTGAGGGCCGAGACCTGCCCTGTTGTACTGGAGGAGAAAAGTGCGTGTACATTTCTGAAGACCCAGGCTAGAGCCCTAACCACTGGGCAACGCTTTCTCTTTGGAGGCGGCGGGGCTGCCGGGAGGAGGCAGGAGGTTTTGAGTGTAATTCTGAACTAGAACTGGAGCGTGGAGCGTGGGTTGTGTGGCCCCGGGGGGGGAGGGGAGAGAATTCGGTTTCCTGTCCCGCCGGGCTCACGTCTGACCATGGAAATGTTGTGGAGGGCGAATCAGATGGCGAGTGAGTTTTCTCGCCCCGCCCCCTCCACTAGCCAAACTGACATGACCTTAGCCACCATCTCACTGGTTGCTGGTTCGGAGGGGCCGTTCCTTTCCCCTTCCCTGGATCTGCAGGGGCTTTTCCGCTCTTC